GGAAATACTCAAACAATGTGGAGAGAGCAAAATGAAAGACTTCAAGCCATCTCCCATGAATCATGGAAAGGGAAGTGTCGCAGGACAACTAACACCAGTGGAATACAACCGACTGACAGTGTCGGAGACTGTGTCGATAGATGAACCCACCGGTGGATACATGGAGATTTCGGAATACCGAAACTCGGCTAGAGGGTATGTAATGGCCCTGGAAGACGAAAAAGCCATGGAGGGTTATCTAGAAACGATGTTGCAAGGCACCACCCTCAAGCAGAAGGCGTACGGGACTTTGGCGTCGTCTGACATTCAGGCAGAATCGATCGAGCAGTTGGTGAGCCTTCCATGGAAAGCAGTAGTGTTGAGGTATTTCGAAGAGGAAATGAGGACTATGCCAAGGATACATGCTCTCGTGGCAGTACCTTACGTAGGAACAGAGTTACAACTCAGGTTCGCCTGGTGTATGATGGGACTGACTCGCGAAGAATATGACTCAGAAGAAAGGAAGAGATCAAAAGAGGAAAAGGTTTTCCTTATGACGAATCTGAGGGATCTGATAGTCCAGGAGGGAGCAGCAGTAGCGTGTGCGAAGCGGAGAGACGCTCTCTGTTTCATTCGATTCCTGATAGAGCAGATTTCAGTATCTGCATTAAACACTTGTGTTAAAATTTTGAGGGAAGGCGATGAGCGAACGAAAGCCTTATTCTTGCTAGCACTGCTGGATATGCAGCAAAGTAAACCGATGAGGGTGAACATGAAAGAACCTGAGGAGTTAGAACCCATGAAAAAGATAGACGAAATCAGGAGATTCTCAAACAAGGAGCTGAGACTCACTAAAGAATCTATGGGAGCATTGCCGAAATCCAGTGAATACTGTGGACCGATCAAGAAGAAGTCGTATGGCTACGTATCCGGGATCATAGGGATCGCGTACAATCCTTTCCTGAGTGAAGACATACGCGATTGCTTCTTCGATTATGAGCAGGCGGTGTTGCTAAGATTCTGGACGTCCAGAATTGTAACGATTACGAGCGTTAACAATCCACAGGCCAAATTGGGACTGGTCTTGGAAGAAGAGGTGACTGCACCTTCAGTACCAAAATCCGATAAAAGAGTGGAGTTTGGGTTGGGATTCTCAGATGAATTACTGAGAACGAGCTTGATGACAGTGTGGGAATTGATGAGGCCATCATGATGTCCTAGTCCCAACGCTGACTCTATATTACCGGCGACACAAGACGTACAGAGGGAACTGAATGCAGACTGTAACCTGCGTGACCTCAACATCATATATAATGTGATGATAACAGCCTCTAAGAGCAACGGAGAAGATAAAGTGGAGTTGCCTGGCTGGGGACCAGAAGACTGGGTCAAACCTGGTAGCTGTCTGGCGGAAGTCTGTGGACTGGAGGGTCACGTTTGAGGAGGTTTGGACTGTGTGAAGACCCTGGAGAAACAACACAAGCAATTGACGGTATTGTTTGGAAATGTAGTGATGAAAGCTAGAACAGAAACGGAACTGATAGCAGATTGCCATGGAGGAACCGATGTGAATCTAGTGACTGCACTAGGATTCTACAGCATGTTTGGTTCTTTAGAGTCACTATTGAATCTAGAACAGAATCATGAGATGGTCACAGCCATCAGTGTAGAAGTATTCCCAGGAGTTCTACAGACTGAACAGAAATACATAGGGAAATGGAGGGAAGCAATCGAGACAGAAATGAACATCACACACAGCGAGACTTATTGTAGACCATCAGGAGCACGATATTTGGTGGGTTCAACGTTGGCTCCAATGTGCAAGAGCAGATACCCTGTACATTTCGTGGCTGTGGACGTGAAGAGTACAAGAACGATCGTGGATCAAGCCTTCTCAGTGCCAAAGTGTGTGAGATTTGCGAGAATGTCTGAAAAGTCTTACGAGTTACTATGTAAGATGTTCTCAGCAGTTCCAGAGAGAACCAAAGAAGAATTGGAGTCAATACTAGGAAAGAAGTTCATAGGATATGTGAGTGGGAACTTCAGTGACTTTGAGAGACAGAAACAGAGAGGATCAACTGTCACAGATTACAATGCAGTAGATGAGAATGATGAAGTCCACCGAGTGATGATGGAAGTGGAACCATTGCTGGAAGCTTCGGGAAAACGTAATTGGAGGAGCATCATGTTGACGCATGACGAGTTTCCTTGCCACTGCTTGCTGCAGACCTGGTGGTATCCCAAGCGTAGTAATCTGATGTTGATCTGGGACTCTGGAGAGCTGCTCTCCATGGGTTTACCAGATTCATCACAGCCCGTAACGATAGTGATAGTGGGAGTTATGATGGCAATACGATGGCTGGAAGCTCATGTGAGAGAAAATAACAGACAGGAGGCACCGACGAGAGAACAGTTGCGGAAATTAGATTGTCTAAAAGATTTAGATCTTTTTGAGACAATGTGCAAAGTTCTAAACATTCCGATGGAAGTGAAGAAGATATGGGCAAGAAAACGATTGATGCCATGGTTCAAAACTAACATGACTGCATGGTTGTACGAGTATGCGAAAAAGCATATGTCGAAGCACGGCAGGGTGTACAGTGAATATCAGCTGGACATTGGAGCAGGAGCTTTCAAGCGAGCTCTCGTGACTCATCGGAATGCAGTGACCACCGCTGTGAAAAGAATTTCCAGGACGAGTGAACGTAGTGGAAAGGAGAAGGCAGAGATGCTGAAAGAAGATTTGGAGAGAAACGTGACGTTGTGTCTCCACAACAGCTTCTGCAGAAACAGAGAATCTAACGTGGATCCCCTACCTTGTTGTAAACAGAGGGTGGAAGAGCAGAAGTAATGGAGGACGGCTTCCAGCAGCGTCAGGATAGCTGACGACGTGTTACAAGATACGGAAACTGAGAGTGCAGAGTCAGTATCACAGGAGGAAGAAATGGAACATTGACGGATGACCGAAAGAAGAGATGGAATTAGAAGAATTTAGAAGTTTTAGAACTTCTAAACGACAAAAAAGAAGAAAACAAAGGAGTGATGAAGAAAAGTTGAAACTCAGAATTGTTTTATGTGTGTCAAAAACTCAAGTGAGAAACCAAGCAACCAAGTTGTAATTGAAAACTGAAACATTAAGTTGAGTTTTGAAATTGTTGCATTTATAAATTTGCATTTTGATTTTGAGTTGAAGTGGCTTTAGAGACACTCACTTACTATTTATTTAGAAAGGCTTAAGTGAAGGAGTATATTTAAATATTCCAGCCTGCATGACTGTTTTTAATCAGCTAGGAGAACTGATCACTTTGTGGTGACATGGAAGGCTTGAGTAATCTCTCGAAGAGGGAGATTGTTTCATTGTTCTTTCTAACCACAGAGTTTCTTAGTTTTAGTATTCAGGACAATAACAAGCAAGATTTCCGAAGGGAAAAGCGTAGTAGGATAATTTTAGCTTGTTGGTTGGCAGGACTGTCCTGCAAGCCAACACTTTTTAAATCTAAGAGAAAAGTTTTAATCGGGACATTGACATTGGAAGTCAGAAAATATGTTTTATCTTAAGTCATATCCTCGATGTGCAGATTAATGAGAGAATTTGAAGGCTATAGTGATGTAGTATGATGCCATTTATATTCTGCAGTGAGTCGATGTGACGTGGATAAAAGTAATTTCTTGCATTTTGTAAATTCTGTTCGATGACACTGTAACCATTTTACGAACATTGCGTGATTCAATGAGGACATTGACCGGACTGTCCGGGGAGTATGTGACATTCGAACAGAATGTGAAAAATGCAATCTCTGCAGAATTCGAATTTTTAGCAGCGAGCCTTCCGGATTGGTGATTATTAAGAACTAAGAACGTTATTGGAACGATTGGCCAAACGGTGAGGGCTGGAATATTCTGGTATTTTAAAATTTCAAAAATTCGAATTATGACGTCATATTTCTGAGAAACGTCAGAAACGGCCATTTTGGCTAAAACAAAAAAGAAAAAGAGAACAACATTAGCTGCGCTAACAACAACTACGGAATTGAGATTGGAAAACGACAACGAGTTACAGAGTAACAGAGAACACTCCGAGTTGCAACTATTGTGCTGCTACAATAGTTGCAAGGCCGTTGCGAACAACGGTGAAGGGTGAAAGACGGCCTTCCGGATTAAGAGGAAATCAGGATTAACGAGCTTGATCCAGCGGATTCATCAATCCGGAAGGGTAAAGGAACTGAAACTTTTATCCTGTTACATAAACTTTTAGCTTCCTGTCATGTCCTGACTTGAATTTAATTGATATCTAGATTCATTTTGATAAGGATGAGAAGCTAGGAGTTGGGGGAAAGGGTTGATCCATCTTCGATGGAGATGATGATTTTTATCTACTGAACAAAAACAATAGTAATATAATAAGTAGTAGCCCTGTTTTTAGGAGTGACCTCGTGGTCTGGGGATACTGAGACCCAGCCATGAGCTCACTATTTCTGCATGTAATCTAGTTAATTTGAGTGTTTTGACCGAAGCCGAAAGTAGTAACGTTTTGTCGACCCGATGTTAGAAAGACCACCGAAAAGTACTGGCTTGGTAGAGACGGTGAAAAGCATGCAAGGCTCTGTTTAGACGTTAGCCAGTCGTCTTAAGACTTAGTTTTGTCTTCCGTTGATATGTATCTTCCGGGCGAATGTTATAAAAATAACTATCAACGAACTTTTTTATTTGTAACACTTGTATATTATATTTTCTCTTGTGTGGAGTTGCATGCTCTTATTGAAGAAGCGTTAATTGTTAGGACATCAACACTTGTTATCTTCTTTTTTCATTATCACTTCCATATTTAGAAAATTCGAAGGATTTTGACTGGAAAACGTGATGAAGGGACTCCTGACTGTAACCTCGGTTACTATGATACTTTTGACCTTCTGATTTTTAAAGAAAAAACAAGAAAAAAAAATCGCTGAAATAATGAATGATTAAGCCTTTTTCTTCTTCGCCTTCTTTACCTCCACCTTGTGAAGATAGTATTTGTGTTCTAGATTGGAATGATTCCCTATTCTCATTGAGTGTGAGAAAGTATGAAGAATGATAGGTAATATGGTAGCTTATTTGATTGAAAAGAGTGCACTGAACAGAGTCAGCTCAGAGCACAACGTATCCAAGAGCAGAACGACGGCAGTAAAGTTTTGATATCGAGTACAAAACTCACTAAAGCAAGGCTCACTTTGTCATTAAGCATGACTGTTTTCTTTAAGCTCTGTATTCGAATGTTTGCTTTACCTTTGCGATAAGCACGGGTATTGTAATCGGGTACTAGACTTTTTCGCGTAAATTACTTGTTCACAGAATGGTCAAAATTAGAAATGGTAAATTAAATTCCAGCTCATGATAATTTCAAATTTCTTTGCGTCTCCGGTACACTTGGTTTCTGGAGGTAACGAGTGCGCATAGGACGGCAAAGTTCCTGGTTTTGAATCTGACATGACCTGTTTTTTTGTTCAATTGGTAAATAGTCCATTTCAAAAAAAAAATCGCCGGCCCATTATTATCGGCTTATGTTTTGTCGGCTTAGTTGCCATATTGTAGATTTTTTATTTTGGCTGTTTTACATTAAAGTTGCTTTTAGTGTTCTGATTTAACTCTGCTGTGTGTAGTTTTAGTGACCTTGAACTCGTATATTTTCTTCTTTTTTTTTTTTGCTGAAACACTTTATTCTACCCAAATGATTTCGGCCTATTTTTGTTTGGCTTAGTGGCATAATTACGAGTAGTTTCAACGGAAACAGCTTTTATGCTCACCTCTGGATCGCACACAACGCTTAAAACTAATACAAATTAATAGGTCAAGTTTTTCATTACATTAAATTATTTCTGTTTTTGTTTTTTTTTTCCTGTTTTCGACTCTCTCGATAGACTTCGGCCTATATTATATCGATAATTGGCCTCATTTTGCGTGTTTCTACGAGCGAAAAATTTTTTTTGTGTGCGAGGCTGTGTTGAGGTTGAGGGGGACTTAATAACTTCTTAGTCTTATTTTTTTCGACTTTTATCCTTTTTTGGGCCTTATAGATTTCGACTCCTATTATATCGTCTTTTTGCCTCATATTAGGTCATTTGATAAACAAATAAAGTTTTTTGGTTTTTGTTTGTTAGGGGGACTTATTAACTTTTCATAAATCTTAAGTCTTGTTGCTTTTTGTGGCTTTAAGGGTTCCTGACAATTTATTTTTGGCTTTGTTAACGCTGGAAACATTATCTTCCGATGCTTATTTCACATTCTATTGTCTGGGCATGTTTTTGTTTCAAAACTAGCATTATTTTTTTTGATAGATCTAGTTTTTTTGATAGATCAATTTATTACATGCAAAATTAGTGTGGATGCCTTCAGTTTGTTATATTCCTAACTTTTACTTGCAAAATTGTCTCTATTTTTATTTGATGCCATTGCTGCATAGCATTGGCAATTTGTTAGCACATGTTGCTGCTTCTTTTGTGACTTGTGTTTGCCCTTTGTTAAGCGTTCGTGGCCAAGAGGGCAGGGTGTGAGACTCCAACTGTCGAGGTTGCAATTTTGAAGCCCATCCCTAGCAAAGTTTTTCGAATCCAATACGTAGCAAATTTTAACTAATACAAGCCTGTTTTTTATTTTTTTTTAATTTCATTTTTTATAGATTGTCGTGTTCGTGCTAGTGTTTGCGAAAAGCGACTTGGCTTCTGTGTTGATGAATATAGTTAGCATAGCACAATGAGTGCACGCAGTGCGAGAACTGATTAAGTTTCTGTCACTCTTGCTGATTTAATTCATGTTGACTATCTAGATTTTGTTAATTCTGTTGGGTTGTATGCTTTTGGACCGTTCTTCTCTGGGCCTGCCTCCGATTTTGAGCAATCACCTGTTTTGACGTTTGTATTCAAATTTTTTCAGTGAACAGGAGTTCGGATTTCCCGAAATGGATACGCCTGCCAAAGTCAAAGGGCGTGAAAGAAAGCCATCCAAGGTAAGCTCAGACATTTTTTAAAAACCTAATGAAATGTCAGTGTTTTACCGTCTTTTATTAAGAGTCGATGATCGTATTTCAGACTCTTATGTAGCCCGCGATGATTTTTTTCTTTCATTTTTTTTCAGGAAAAGTCTTTAAAATTTCCCAATTTACTTTTTCGCGATTTGAAGTTTGATTGCTTTTTAAGTTCACTTCATTTACTTTGTTGAAAGGAAGGCAAACTGCTAACAGAGCAAAAGTGTAAAGTTCAGGAAAAAGGTGATCGACTTTAAGTATCGAAAGTAGAATTTAATTTTCAGATTTCCCAGCGAAATAAAAATTTTACTTATTGAACCAGTTTTCTCAAATTGGGTTCATTTTACCAAAAAGTGCCAATCGTAAATTGTTCCAAAAATTCAAAGAGCGTCAAATGTATCTTTTTTTCTTTGAAATTCGAAAGTTGAGATTTTTCAAAAGACCTGTCATTATTTTTCTGTTTACTTACGTTAATTGACTTTTTTCCAATTCTGTTGGCTGTTTTGCCTTTAGGTTTTCGAGATAGTGGAGCACAAAGCCGAGGTGATGGCAGATAGGACGATAGCGCCTATAGTTTCTAGAATATACCACGAGAGCTGGATTTACCGCAAGGGCTTCTGGATTTTTTGCTATTTAGCGTGTTGGACAATATTCCTAGTAACAACGTATGCATTATGGGTGAATTATAGACGGTACGACACAAACGCCGAATTATCAGTATCTTTTAGCAAAGAAATAGTGTTTCCTGCGGTAACAGTATGTGATCAAAACAGTTTGAACAAATTTAAAGCTACTGTCGCCAAAGACTTTTACGATCTCTCCCAAGCAGATGACGCTTTGTGGGTGAGTGTTTTCGAAATCTTGGCAAATTCATCTGATGTCGATTTTGACATCAACCTACAGCCAAGCCCTTGCTCCGATGATGAGTTCCAATGTGACAGCGGAAACTGCATTGATCAATTTTTTTTGTGCGATAACTATGCAGACTGCATCACTGGCGAAGACGAACGTAATGAACTTTGCGCGAACCGCTACAATACATTCGGTGATCTAACATCTATGCAGAAAACGCAAACATGCCCATTGGCGTTAAACGCTTTGTATAATTCTACCGATTGGAGTGGGTCCCTCAAAAATGTGACCCATTGCTGTGACTGGAAGAACTCAACCGGGTAACTGCTTTAAATTACTAATATTGTGTTAATTTTATATATTTAGCCACTAGGGTAGAGGCAAGATTCAATTACCCTATATCTCATAAAGTTATTTTTACTTTCATGTGTCAATATCCATTTATTGATAGTTTTGTCTGCAGTTCTACTGTAAGTATTAATTTAGTTAACGAAGGTGGGCTTTGAGAGCATTTAGGTGGTATAAGTCAACTAAATTGGAAGGTTTATGAGGATGTCTTGTTCAGCTAATCATTTATCTTCGTGGTGATAATGTACGAGCATTCAGATTGTCAGGTAATATGTGATTCTCCTTTGAAATAAAATGAAGCGGTCAGTGAAATGAAGCATAATTACTTTAACATTCAGATAAAAAGATAGTATATCCGTGTTTTTTGAGATGTTGTATTAGTTCTTGGTTTTGATTTTAAAACGCTTTCTTACAATTTTTCCTGGTGCCGAGTTGAATTTTTGTTTGCAAAACGAATTGGAGCCGTAAAGCAAAACAGGAATCATCATAGGTTTATAAAAATTTAATTGAGTCATGAATACCCTCGTATTTTTGAATGGTTAAACTAGGTGTATCTTTGCTGCTGCAGGGATGAGCAATAGTTTGGGACGAGGAACCCTTGTGTGCACATTTTCTGACATTTTAAATTAAGTTGGGTTCTGTAATCTGTGTAATTTTCGTTTAAATTGGATTGAAGTGTTTTTTTTTCTGTCAACTTAAAAATTTTTGCATCATCTGCACAAATTAGGGGAGTTCTGGATGTACACCAATTCGTAAGTGTAAATAGATGAAAAACTAGATGAAATAGTCTTGATTTACACCACTGCTAATGTTTTGATCGTATTACACTTGCGAGAGCAAGTGTCCTGTAGTCGTTAATTAGATCTTCTCACCCATAAACAACCTTTTCTTACAAATCTATAAGAAATCGAAGTTGCTTTATTAGTGATCCTTAATATATTCGAGTCTTCTCCCCTCTTGGCCTAGAGATAACGCGGTTGCCTGCGCACCCTAGGGTCTGGATTTGCGTCTCGGCCAGACCTTGTTTTTTTCAGTATGAAAAAAATTAATTTTTCGTGGGAAATTTGAATTGTCGGAGATATTAGCCTCCCATCGGGTATCTCTCTTGTACTGTCAGCAGTTTTCATCATATTCGCAAATGTATTGATTTAATCTTGTAATTTTAAAAATTAATAGGCCTGATTTTGTATATATTTTTGATTTTCGATTTTTTTCTTAGAAGCTATATTTGGCCTAAATAATGTCAACTTATGTTTATCGGCTTAGTTAAACAAGGGCAGTAAATGACTGGTCAATGAATATTCAAATGTCCGGCAAGTTTGCCTAGATAGACAAAAGAAAATTAATTTTATGTAGACCTAGGTTTCAAAGATAGTTCTTGTTTTACGATTTAAGTTTTTGTTTGTTCTATCGCAAGTGATGCGCAGCACCTAATTGAAAATTAGACGGAAAATAATTGGAAACAATAAAATTAGTTGCAAAAAGCAGTCGAAGCGGTCACTAAGTAGCTTTAGCCGAGCGGTCACTAAGTTCACAACAAGAGAGTAGACGCCCATTGAGACTAAAACCGATAAAATGCGTTAAGCTCCGCTTTGCTTCACTGAAAAACTTAATTCCACATCTTTTCTTATGAAAGCAGTTTCTTAAGACAGTTTTTGTTTTAGACTCATGGGGCGTCTACTCATTATGGGCTTAGTGGTCGTATTTACCGAGCGTTTGTAAAAGCGTAATCTATTATTATATATGTAAATGCGGACTTCGCCATCTCGCCACGTCTTAGCTTTTTCAACGTAATGTTTTTGCATGTTTAACGAAAGAATTTTTCACGCTTGAGCTGTATGGTATTTTGCAATAATTAAGAATTATTTTTTCAATTTTCCAGTTCGAATTCAGTGTTTATTTCACCGAGTTCAAAAATGAGCAGCCGAATAATGGGATGATTTCATAGTTCTACCAGGGGTTGCGAATTTGGCTTCCGATTGTGAATGCCTAAATCCTTTTATTGTACGAGATAAGGCGATTTTTGTGTTTTTTTTTTCAAAATGAGTTTTTTTATAAAAAAATTTCAAATTTACATCCTCTAGTTGGTTGCTCTCAGTGAAATCTCGAGGATTGCGAATCTTGTCTTTAAATATGACTGCTCAAATTCTTTTTGTTATCGAAATTTGATGTGTTTTATTATTTTTTCAATTTTTCAGAAAAATTAGATTTTGTAAATATCAAGATTTTAAATTCCCAACCTTATAATTGTGTACTGTGAGGGTACTCTCAAGAATTCCAAATTGGAAATCTTGAGTCCAAATGCGACTGCTCAAATGCTCTTAATTTCCAAGATGTTACATTTATGTTTTTTTTTTTCAATTTGTTCAAATAACTTGAAAAGTGTCACAAAATTTGACGTTCCCATCTCTATAGAAAGGCTCTGTCAGGTTTTTCTCGAGATTTGCAAATTTTGCCTCCAAGTATCACTGCTCAAGTCTTCGTAGTTTTCGAGATATGACTTTTTTGTAACTTCATCAAAGTTTCTCAGAAAACTTACTTTTTCAAGTTTCCCAACCCTGTAGCTGGGAGCTCTCAGAGCTTGCAAATCTTTCCTTTAAATATGACAGACCAAATCTTTGTAGTTTTTCAGATATGGCGCTTTTTGTAATTTTTATTTCAAAAATGGTTCAGAAAACTTATTTAATTTATTTTAATTTGAATCTCCCAATGCTTTAGTTTCAGAAAAGTTATGTTTTATTTTTTTTTAAATTTATAATTCCCAACTTTGTAGCTAGGGGCTGTCAGAGTACTCTAGACGTTGCAAAATTTTGCCTCAAATATGACTGCTCAAATCTTTCTTAATTTTCAAATATGGGGCTTTTTGTGATTTTTATTTCAAAAATGGTTCAGAAAACTTATTTAATTTATTTTAATTTGAATCTCCCAATGCTTCAGTTGGGTACTGTAAAAGTTCTCTCAGTAGTTGCAAATGTTGTGTCTAAACGCGACTGCTCAATTTCCGAGATGTTGCGTTTCTTAATTTTCATAATGTTTAAAGAATTTTTACAATATAGTTTTATATTTTTTACATTTACATTGTTACACGTAAGTCATTTTTAATTCAATTTTCATTGGATACAGTCGCTTTTCAGCCATCGGGAGTTATTCACAAATTATGAAAAGGTTTTTGTTGGCGTTGATCTTCAGCTTCGATTATGTAAGTTAATAGACTCTGGATCTGTAGTAACTAGAGTCATATTTAATTCAATTTTTTTGGAACTTCTTTTAAGTAAGTTAATCGTAAATTAAGTAAATTAATTTATATTACAGAGTCGATTAACTTACATAAGAAAAGCTGAAGAGCCACGCCATCAAAAGTCTTTTCATAATCTGTGAATACTTTCGATAGCTGAAAATCGACTGTATCCAATCAAAATTGACTAAAATATGATTTTTTTTCTACAAATTGCGGTCTATGAAATGAAAAATGTAAGGGAAAATTAACGTGCGTTTTGAATTGTCATTTCAAATTGACAAATTATAAAAATATGCTTTGTTTGCTTCAACCTTGCGACCGCCGTTAACTTTTGGTCATTTTTTGATTTTCAAATTGCAGTTGGAGATGAAATTAATTTAATTTACAGTTCCCTCACTTGACTGTTTTTTCTGGCAGATACCTTCAGTCATCATCACTTATGAATACAAGATTAGATCTCTTGAGTTTTTTTCTTTTTGCGTTGTTGCATAGTAGTTAGCGTGACCAGACACCCGCGCCACAAAAACCCAGATATTTCCGGCCCAGACATTTCTACCCTACAAGCAATCCGGAACTGACTGCTTTTGGGGCTGAAATGACTAGAGCGGAAGTGACTGGGGCGGAAATGACTGGGAACCAGTGATTAGATACTCAAAGGTCAATTTTCCCAAAAATCTGGTAGGATTAGCTACAATTGACTTGACTTGAAACCATTTAACAGCATCGATGGGTTGTGCGGGACAGTGTCTCTAGCAGCATCCGAAATTTTCGTGATCAGTCTTCAATTGAGTATAGCTTCTATCTGACAAAGCACTGTGTAGGTATCATCTATCTATATCTATACTATATTTAAATGCTAGTGACGGCTATCTCCCCTGTTAAAGCTTAACAATTTTTCAAGTTTAACGAAAGAATTTTTCATGTTTAAGCCATATCATATATTGCAATGCTTAAGAAAACATTTCAATTCGTTTTCCGCAAGGTCATTAAAAATTCTTGTAGTTACAAATTCGCTAATTCATATGACTGCTTAAATTCTTGTAGTTTTCGAGATGACGTTTTTTGTGATTTTTTCAGTTAAAATTATCAAAATATTAAATTAATATTTTTTAATTTGAAATTCCTTACCCTGTAGTTGGGTGCTGTCAGGGTACTCTCAGGAGTTGCGAGCCTTGCCTTCAAAATTGACTGCTCAAACCCTTGTGTTTTCTGAGATATGACGTTTTTTGTAATTTTTCAAAAAATTTTAGAAAACAACACTTTTTTTTCTTCAAAATATTAAATACCCAACCCGATAGTTTGGGGCTATCAGAGTACTCTCAGGTATTGCGAACCTTGCATTCAATTATGACTGCTCAAATTCTTGTACTTTTTGAGATTTGACGTCTTTGTGACTTTTTCGAAAGTTTCAGAAAACTTGAATTAATTTTTGTATTCAAAATGTGAAATTCTTTACCCTCTATTTGGGAGCTGTCAGGGTACTCTCATGGTATGCGAATCTTGCCTCCAAATATGACTGCTTATATCCTTGTAGTTTTCGAGATATGACGTTTTTAGTGATTTTTTCAGCAAAAAATTATCAAAATATTAAATTAATATTTATAAATTTGAAATTCCTTACCCTGTAGTTGGGTGCTGTCAGGGTACTCTCAGGAGTTGCGAGCATTGTCTTCAAAATTATCTGCTCAAATCCTTGTTTTCTGAGACATGACGTTTTTTGTAATTTTTCAAAAAAAATTGCCGAAAAACTTTTTTTCAAAATTTGAAATTCCCAACCCTGTAGTTGGGGGCTGTCAGAGTACTCTCACGGGTTGCGAACCTTGCATTCACTTATGACTGCTCAAATTCTTGTACTTTTTGAGATATGACGTTTTGTGATTTTTTCGAAAGTTTCAGAAAACTTGAATAAATTTTTGTATTCAAAATTTGAAATTCTTTACCCTCTGTTTAGGTGCTGTCAGGGTACTGTCATGAGTTGCGAATCTTGCCTCCAAATATCACTGCTTATATCCTTGTAGTTTTCGAGATATGAGTGAGGTTTTTTGTGAATTTTTAAAATTTTTTTTGGACAACAACACTATTTTTTCTTCAAAATATTTAATACCCAACCCGATAGTTGAGGGCTATCAGAGTATTCTCAGGTATTGCAAACCTTGCCTTCAATTTTAACCGCTCAAAGCGTTGTAGTTTTGGAGATATGACGTTTTTATGCAATCCTTTTTCAAAAAAAATTCAAAAAACTTGTAATTTGTTTTCAAAATTTGAAATTTGCATCCTTGTAGTTGAGGGCTATTAGAGTACTCTCAGAGTGTTCCGAACCTTGCCTCCAATTATGACTGCTCAAATTCTTGTAGTTTTCGAGATTTGACGTTTTTTGTGATTTAAAAAAATTATCAAAAATTTAAATCAATATTTTTAAATTTGAAATGCCTTACCCTGTAGTTGGGTGCTGTCAGGGTACTCTCAGGACTTGCGAGTCTTGCCTTCAAAATTGATTGCTCAAATCCTTGTAGTTTCTGAGATATGACGTTTTTTGTGATTTTTAAAAAAAACTGCCGGAAAACTTAACGAAATTTTTTTTTAAATGTGAAATTGCCAACCATTTAGTTGGGGGCTGTCAGAGTACTATCATGGGTTGTGAACCTTGCATCCAAATATGACTGCTCAAATGCTTTTACTTTTCGAGATATGACGTTTGTTGTGATTTTTTTTTCAAAAATTTTTTCAAAAAACTCAAATTAATATTTTCAAATTTTGAAATTCCCTTCCCTATAGTGGGGTGCTTCAGAATACTCTCAGGAGTTGCGAATCTTGCCTCCAAATATGAGTGCTCCATTCCTTGTAGTTTTTGAGATATGACGTTTTTTGTGATTTTTTTTTTTAATTTCAGAAAACCCAAACAAGTTTTTTTTCTTCAAAATTTTGAACTCCCAACCTTTTCGTTGGGGGGCTTTCAGAGTAATCTCACGGGCTGTGAACCTTGCATCCAAATATGACTGCTCAAATTCTTTTACTTTTCGAGATATGACGTTTTTTGTGATTTTTTCAGTTAAAATTATCAAAATATTAAATTAATATTTTTAAATTTGAAATTCCTTACCCTGTAGTTGGGTGCTGTCAGGGTACTCTCAGGAGTTGCGAGCCTTGCCTTCAAAATTGACTGCTCAAACCCTTGTGTTTTCTGAGATATGACGTTTTTTGTAATTTTTCAAAAAAATTGCCGAAAAACTTAACGAATTTTTTTTCTTCAAGACTTGAAATTCGAAATTCCCAACGCTGTACTTGGGGGCTGTCATATTACTCTCACTGGTTGTGAACCTTGCATCCAATTATGACTGCTCAAATTCTTGTACTTTTCGAGATATGACGTTTTTTGTGATTTTTCAAAAATTTTTAGAAAACAACACTTTTTTTTCTTCAAAATATTAAATACCCAACCCGATAGTTTGGGGCTATCAGAGTACTCTCAGGTATTGCGAACCTTGCATTCAATTATGACTGCTCAAATTCTTGTACTTTTTGAGATTTGACGTCTTTGTGACTTTTTCGAAAGTTTCAGAAAACTTGAATTAATTTTTGTATTCAAAATGTGAAATTCTTTACCCTCTATTTGGGAGCTGTCAGGGTACTCTCATGGTATGCGAATCTTGCCTCCAAATATGACTGCTTATATCCTTGTAGTTTTCGAGATATGACGTTTTTAGTGATTTTTTCAGTAAAAATTATCAAAATATTAAATTAATATTTATAAATTTGAAATTCCTTACCCTGTAGTTGGGTGCTGTCAGGGTACTCTCAGGAGTTGCGAGCATTGTCTTCAAAATTATCTGCTCAAATCCTTGTTTTCTGAGACATGACGTTTTTTGTAATTTTTCAAAAAAAATTGCCGAAAAACTTTTCAAAATTTGAAATTCCCAACCCTGTAGTTGGGGGCTGTCAGAGTACTCTCACGGGTTGCGAACCTTGCATTCACTTATGACTGCTCAAATTCTTGTACTTTTTGAGATATGACGTTTTGTGATTTTTTCGAAAGTTTCAGAAAACTTGAATTAATTTTTGTATTCAAAATGTGAAATTCTTTACCCTCTATTTGGGAGCTGTCAGGGTACTCTCATGGTATGCGAATCTTGCCTCCAAATATCACTGCTTATATCCTTGTAGTTTTCGAGATATGAGTGAGGTTTTTTGTGATTTTTTAAAATTTTTTTTAGACAACAACACTGTTTTTTCTTCAAAATATTAAATACCCAACCCGATAGTTGGGGGCTATCAGAGTATTCTCAGGTATTGCAAACCTTGCCTACAATTTTAACCGCTCAAAGCGTTGTAGTTTTGGAGATATGACGTTTTTATGCGATATTTTTTCAAAAAAAATTCAAAAAACTTGTAATTTGTTTTCAAAATTTGAAATTTGCATCCTTGTAGTTGAGGGCTATTAGAGTACTCTCAGAGTGTTCCGAACCTTGCCTCCAATTATGACTGCTCAAATTCTTGTAGTTTTCGAGATTTGACGTTTTTTGTGATTTAAAAAAATTATCAAAAACTTAAATCAATATTTTTAAATTTGTAATGCCTTACCCTGTAGTTGGGTGCTGTCAGGTTACTCTCAGGAGTTGCGAGTCTTGCCTTCAAAATTGATTGCTCAAATCCTTGTAGTTTCTGAGATATGACGTTTTTTGTGATTTTAAAAAAAAAACTGCCGGAAAACTTAACGAAATTTTTTTTTAAATGTGAAATTGCCAACCCTTTAGTTGGGGGCTGTCAGAGTACTCTCATGGGTTGTGAACCTTGCATCCAAATATGACTGCTCAAATTCTTTTACTTTTCGAGATATGACGTTTGTTGTGATTTTTTTTTTCAAAAATTTTTTCAAAATTAATATTTTCAAAATTTGAAATTCCCTTCCCTATAGTTGGGTGCTTCAGAATACTCTCAAGAGTTGCGAATCTTGCCTCCAAATATGAGTGCTCCATTCCTTGTAGTTTTTGAGATATGACGTTTTTTTGTGATTTTTTTTAAATTTCAGAAAACCCAAACAAGTTTTTTTTCTTCAAAATTTTGAACTCCCAACCCTTTCGTTGGGGGGCTTTCAGAGTAATCTCACGGGCTAGGAACTTTGCATCCAATTATTACTGCTCAAATCTTTGTGGTTTTCCAGATATGATGTTTTAGTGATTTTGTCAAAGTTTTTCAGAAAACGAAACTTTGATTTTTTTTAAATTTGAAATTCCTAACCCTGTAGTTGGGTGCTGTCTGGGTACTCATAGGGGTGGCTAATCTTGCCTCAGAACATGACTGCTCAAATCCTTGTAGTTTTCGAGATATGAGCATTTTTTCTTCGATTTTTCCAAAATTTTCAATTAACTTCGGTTTAGAACTATTCTCAAAATTTAAATAGTTTGTTAAATATCAAATTACCAGCCATGTAATTGGGTGCTGTCAGAGTACACTAAAAGCCTGCAGATGTGGTTTCCAATGTATGCGGTTTTTCTTGAATTTTCAAAAATTCGAAGCACCGGAGGTGCGTTACACGCTAGTCTAGTTTTAGTTTTCCTCTGTTGTCTTTTGATATAGCAGTTTCATAGACTTCCCAGCAACAAGCAGTTTCACATAGACCTCCGAAAGTGGTAGCTTTTGCAGATGTTGTAGTCCTTATTTTTGATTCTCAGAAGGGTATCTTTTTTCATCAGTAATGGCTTTTTGTCATTATGGGCATCTTTGCCTTTCTAATTTTCAATATCTGAATTTAATTGATAAGTACATCTGAATAGTTAGGTAAAAAAACATTTTGGCTATTTTTATCTAGGGTTTAAAATTATCTTCTAATAATTTAACAGTTATCGTAGCAGTTAAGTTATTTAAGAAGAAAATCCGAAAAGAGTCAAGTGAAACCGCTAAAAAAGTCCGCTTTTCTGTTTAGGAAGTTCGATGTAGTGCTTCCCCCATGGGCTGTATGCGACGGGTATTATCACTGTACTGACAAAAGTGATGAAGCGTATTGTGATTTTGCTAACGACTTCAGCGTGTGTCCGCGAATGTCAAAGAGTGAGTTCATCTGAACCTGAAACTTTGGCCATATGTCTTTGTTGCTAATTTATCGAAATGTATGCTTGTTCTTGTTTTATCGGCTTTTTTGGAAGCTTTGTGGCAGCTATAAATTTTATATATCGCCTCGTGGAGCCATCTGATAAGGGCGATAAGTTCTAATTAGGAGTAGTAGTGTTTTCAAATCAGGTTTTGACTTTTATTATGACCCTGCGAAGATGAAATTTTGTGGAAATATGAATTGACTAGACTTCAAAATCATAGTTTATTTTGTTTGTTCAATTATTTTCTCGATCTTGAAAAATTTATCGAATATTTTTTAATGAAAGAAATATTTTTATTTCAATTATATGAAACATTTTGAAAAGGGGTCTTCTTTTTCGTTGGCTATTGTCATGTACTTACGTATCGGCATTATTATTTACACTTGCGAACTTAAGTGAACGTTAGTGTAAAAGTACGGCCATTGGTTTTTCTAACCTAAGTCGCAGGTATTGGTGCTACTTTTAATGGAACTTATACTACTGTTTGATAGCATGTGAATAAAAAGTATAGCATGATGTGAAAAAAGCTGTTTGTTTCCGACAGCATAACAATAATAAAAACTCGAATTCAGAAATTTTTTAACTCAATATATTTCGCAATTTTTTGAGATGCATGGTTTATACATAATGTGACTTTCCACTTTCCTGTTTATTACATGCAAAGTTAGTGTGGATGCCTTCCGTTTGTTATATTCCAAATTATTACTTTGTGTCTATTTGTATTTGGTGCTACTTTGCTGCATCGCATTGGCAATTTGTTAGCATATGTAGCTGTTATATTTGTGACTAGTATTTGTCTATTAACAAGCGTTCGTGGCCGAAAGGGCAGGGCGTGAGACGCTAAATCTCGAGGTCGCAGATTTGAACACACCACGAGCAAAGTTTTACTAATTCGAGGCTTATTTCTATTTTTTCTTTATTCACTTTATCAAGCTGCTGTTTTGTCGTGTTATCGCTAGTGTTTGCCACAGTTTTGCCTCTGTGTTTATTTTTGTTATAGCTTTGTGAAAAAGCACCAGGCAGTAATAGCCCTAGAAAGTAACGTTTAGTTCATCAGCTTTCTGTTTTGTCGACGGTTTGTACTTCGCATATAACATAATTTGCGGAAAGTTTTTTTTCTGATTTTAATTATTTTTTCAAGGAAATAACTCCACTGACAGATTTCCCAGAGTAGATCCTACGTGTTCCATATAAGTTGAAATCCAATGACGGTTTCTGCGCATGTTGCCTAAGGTGGCTACGCACATGGAATCAGCAGACAGATTGTTTTGCGTAGACACCCTGAGCCCCTAGAGGTACCGCTCATGTTTGGAACGACAAAGGTGCCTAGTATGATTCCAACCGGGAGCCAATTTTTTTCTTAAAATAAATTTTTCTTGGTAGTGCTTTTTTCGGACTATGGTTCGCCTGCTTAATATCATCGGCATAATTTCCATAGCATGGGTTTTTCAGCTGATATAAGCAATTTATTTTATCATTGAAGTTGGTTTCATTTTTTTTCGTGTATTTTGTAAGTTTACCACTTATGATTTTGCACAATTCCTTCTCTTCAGTTTTTTTAATGCTTTTGTAATTCCTTTTCGGCTACAATGGTATCTTTTTATGTTTCGGGTCAGTTGCTTCATACAATGTCGCTTAACCAGCGAAACTATAATAGGTTTCCAGTGAGGGGATTTAAAGCTTTCGGCTCAGCGGTCTATCCGTTTTTAGTGGCTTTTTTAAAGTTTTACTTCAAGTGCTACTTTTAGCGGCCAGTTTGAAGTAAGAGGCTGCATTGGCACTACATTTGCACGTGCTTTGATAACCCTCAGATTTGTAATGAGTTGTGGATGCGTTTTGAATTCATCAATTAAAGCCACGGAGGTATTTGTTTCATACAGCAGTACAGCAATAAAATGACCTTTTCAGAAATTTCACTACTCAGTATACTCCGCGAAGTTTTTGAACTGACCAATTTGAATCACATTTGGGTGCGCACTTTCCAATTTGTTGCATGCAAAACATGGGTAACTTTACTTTATAATATTGTAAATTTTTACTTGCAAAATTCGTGTTTTTGTCTTTAAGCTTACAAAGTTTTGCCGTTTTCTCGCATGTGGTTAGGACGCTGCAGCTTCGACTCTGTTTTTTCTTTATTTAACATTGGCAGTTTTGTTTCTCCACTAGTTTCCCTCAGATTATTGAACTTCAATCCAGAGAAATAATTAATCATTTTCTTTGAAGTTGTTTTTTATCAATATTTTAAAAACCCCGCGGTTTCTATCTTTTTAAAAGTCGATGAACGTAGCTCAGACTCTTATATAGGTAGGTCGTGATGAATTTTTTTTTCAGGAAACTTGTTAAAATTTGTTCAAACTCAAATTTACTTTTTTGTGGTTTGAATTTTGATTTCGTTTTTAAGTTTCGTCCAGTTCCTTTGTTAAGAGGAAGTCAAACGCCTCTCCCGAACAGCAAAAGTTTAAAGGCCACGAAAAACTTCTAGTTCGAAACTTGATGAATTTTATCGAAAAAGTGTCAATCATAGTTTGTTTTAAAAATTCAAAGAGCTTCAAGGCCATGCTTATATTTTTTGAAATTTGTTTTTTTTCCTATAAACAAGTCTGTATTTTTTTTCTGTACGACGTGCGTTCATTGAATTTTTTCCAAATGTCTGTTGGCTATCGTTTTTTGTATCGATTGAAGTTTGATGAATATCGCCTCACCTGCTATTATAAGAAATTAAAACCGCTGTCCTGAATACTGAAGAAAATTTTTAATATTGTTTCCGTGATAGCACCTGTCTATCTATTTTGGTTCTTGTTTGGACCCTCAGACTTGAGTAATTGACCTTTAAAAAAGGGTTCAATCTCTTGATATCAATCTTCATTTTATTTTCACAATAATCGCTTTTAATATAGGATCAGTTCGTTTGTGGTAACTAATTTTGCGTGGAAGAAAAATTTTTAAAAAAAGCACCCGACGACAAAGTTTTACCTTATTTTCATTGATCAGAACAAAAAATGAGTATTTTTGTTCGATCTACCTGAGTTCAACATTTTTCTAATGGGACACTTCTTTTTGATTTCATAGAGTTCATGCATACGATTCAACTGTCTTGCGGGTACTTCTATCCCGCTCCAGTCTTGTCCGCGTGACCTGTGACCTTCGGGGCCTGAGACTCTCAAATTTGCTTAAAATTTTCACTAACAGACATATTTAGAGGGCATCGGCACTAGTTTTGTCGGCTCAGCTGCCGCTTCGTAATTTTTTTTCAAAGTTAATTTATCGCTAGCTATTGTGTTTTTCATCGTGGTATCTCAAAATGAACATAATTTGTAATAGAACGATTCAAAAATTGATTGTTCAAAATAAATCTTTAGTCGTTATTTTTTTTAAAATATTTGTTTTTGCGACATGGAGTTGTTCGTCTTATACTCTGTGAGCGAGCTTGCCATGTGACGTTTGTCTTGTATCGCCATTGGTAATGAAGCTCAGCTGTTGACTACTTGTTTCATCAATTTGAGATTTGTCAATTTTAGTTGAATTACAAAGCGACCAGATTGTGAAGTTGAATCCGGATAATAATTTGTGCATGGATCTGGCCCCAAGTGACTTCGTTTGTTCCCGCTGGTGCAAAGATAAGTGTCTGGAAATGTTTCAAGTGTGCGATGGGACTGAAGACTGCCCCAACGGATTGGATGAATCAAGATGCGTGTCCGACATGGCCAGTCCAACAAATAAACCGCCAATCAACGAAACTGCATTCGTTGACAATGGTAAGATTGATTTATCTGAAGTAAAAACATGAAACTACCAAGAGACCAAGTTAAGTTGTTATATTTTGAACGGCAAAGAGTTAACTAGATTCAATCTGCGAACTTTTTATACGTTTTTTTGTCATTACACATGCACAGCGTAGTGTGATACTACAAGGTCAACTTTTTCTAATTTAAGTCGGACATATTGGTGCTTTTTTGTGGCGCCCAAAGGCTTATATAGCAATGTAATAGCATTTCCCCTCACATTCGATTATTAAAGGCTTAATTTAACTGCTGATGCATTTTCAATTCATCAAATTAAATGAAAAAGCTATTTATTTCACACAACAGCACAATTATAAAAACTCAGTTTCAGAATTTTTCCAACTCAATATGATTTGTGAAATTTTTGAAATGCATAATTGTGCAGTTAAATAAATTGGTTTTATACTTTCTAACTTAGTGTGATTGCCTTTTGGCTTATAACCAGGCCCCGGATTTTTTGTTAAATAACTAATTTTCGTATTTACCTGGAGTTAGTTTCGTGGAAATTGGAGGAAAAAAACTAATCACAGAGATGCGCTTTATTTCAACTATTTCTGTTGAAATTTTCCAGAAAACCGACAATACTACTTTAAAAACTGTACGTCAACATTGACATCTGCACCAAGGTTTGATATCACAGGTTGGGGGAGTTTTTAGATGGTGCAAATTACAAAACTGAAAAATTAAAAACTTCAGCTACCGCAAATTTCAGTCTTGCTAAATATTTTTAAAGCCGTAATTAATTTATTTTCAGGTAGTTCGATCGTTTTTACGGAGCCATTTAGTTAATTTAAAACTATTTTTTACTTAATGAAATCCAGGGCCTGCTTATAATATTCCAAATTATTAGATGCTGATTTTGTTTTTCTGAATATCAAAGTTCTCTTTTACCGCTTGTTTGTGAAGTTGCCGCCCATTGCTCAATAATAGTTTCCAGTGTGTCAAATCTTTGAGATCAATTAGATTTTCAAGAAAACTTGGTCATTGTTTTTTATGAGACGATTTTTTTAAAATAGCTTTTAAAGAGTCGATGAACGTAGTTCAGACACTGTTTATATATGTCACGTCGATTTTTTTCGTTTTTTTTTCAGGAAAATTTTTGGTTAAAAAGTTTTTAGTAGTCCAGAAGGTAGTTCAGACTCTTATGTAGGTTGCGATGTTTTTTTTCAGTTGCGATGTTTTTATTTCGCTGGTAAATCTAAAAATTCAATTCCACTTTCGAAACTAGAAATTGATCACGTTTTTGTGATTTTTACACTTCTGCTCGTTAGTGGATTTTGCCTTCCTTTTAACTAAAGAAAATTTGAGCTCACTTAGATTTTCAACAGTAAACTTGGTCATTGTTTTTTGTTTAAAAGTTTTGAAGATTCGGTGTACGTAGTTCAGACTTTTATATAGGTCGCAATGATTTTTTTCAGGAAAATTGTTCAGGCTCAAATTTATTTTTTCGTGGTTTGACTTTTGATTTTTTCTTTAAGTTCAAATTATTTCTTACGTTAAAAGGAAGGCAAGTTCCACTATCGAGCAGAAGTGTAAAAATCACAAAAACGTGATCAATTTCTAGTTTCGAAAGTGGAATTGAATTTTCAGATTCACCAGCGAAATAAAAAAAAAATAGCCATTAATCCAGTTTTCTCAATTTTAGTAATTTTTATCGAAAAATTGACGGTCGAAGTTATTCTAGAATTTCAAAAAGAGCTTTAAGGGCATCTGTTTTTTTCTTTGAAATTTGAAAGTGAGATTTTTTTTAAAACATGTTGATATTTTTTGTTTAATTGCGTTGACCCTTTTTTAAATATCTGCTGGCTATGTTCCCAGAAATTTGTATCAACTTATTACCCTCTGTCGCAATGGATACCCTCTGTCTCTTATCGATAACATCTCCGACGATAACATCGGTAAAAAATTTACTTGGCTCCGGCTACCTTTCCCTGACAATTTTGGCTTAAAGTTTCTGTTTTGGGAGTTTTTTATTTGTTACCGTTCGGCCTAATAGCGAAGTTGTTTAACAGTAAATTTCGGTTGAGAAAGTTAGTTTGCATAGTTTTTTTAACTTATGTTGCAAGCATCAGGTGCTTTATTTACATTTGATTCTAATTTTGAGGGTGAGCGGGCTCCAAAGAAACCTTGGTCAAAATCCTTTAAAATTACTCAAGTACAGCTTTTTACGCTTGCGATTAGCAAGCGTCATCAAATCGGAATGAAGACTTTTTCGGGTTAACAAGTAATTTAACAAAATAACTTGAATTACTTATGATGCTGACAGGCTCAATTTCATAAAAATTCTAATTCAACTACTGTGTAATTTAATTTAAGTAATTTAATTACTACAGGGTAAATTCAGGGGGGCTTGGAACTTTTGGAAGGTTTTTTTTAAAACAAAAAATCAGTTTTTTTTTCGACTTAACTGCTGTCTGCTCAAAGGGGGTCAGCCTTGTTTCCGCTTCGAAAAGTTTGTTCAGTAGCTAATTTGAATTTCAAATGTCAAGCTTGGCATGTTCTTGTTTGATATAAACAGTTATTAGGAAAGTGTTTGGGATCGGGTTTTGTTATCTCCCAATTTTTTTCCCGAAAACCCTTCTGCAGGTATTAAAAAAAATGGTATCTATAGATACAATTACTGCCTTCGTGTGTGTCTGCATACTCCCCTGATCTCTTTGCTTTACCCCTTTCTCTATAGTTTTCGATAAGTCTGGGCGAATATTTGACCTTATATTTTGATTTTTTTCGATTTTCTCAAAAACCTTCCAAATCTGAGATTTGAGTTTCAACGAACAGAACGGATTTGAAAAACCTCCCTTTTTCTGACAAAAAAAATTTTATCATATTTCCCAGCGAAATAAAAGCTAATACGTATTGATCCAGTTTTCTCAAATTGGGTTAATTTTTACAAAAAAGTGTCCATCATAAATTGTTATACAAAATCAAAGAGTCTTAAGGCCAATTATTTTTTTCTCTCAAAATTCAAAATTTGAAGGCTCTTAAAAAACAATTTATTTTTTTTTTCAGTTTCATTGGGTTCCCTACTCTTTTCTTACTGCTAGTTGGCTGTGTTTTATGAACGCAGTGAAGACACTTAGATAGGTAGTGGTGTTTTGTCTTTAATTTTTTTCAGGAAAATATCTTGAAGTTGATTTTTCGCGGTTTTACTAATGATTTTTTTCATTTCAAATATATTTGCTAGAAGAGAATTTACGCTCACCCATTACGAAAGTGAAATCGGAACAAAAAACGTGATTGTTTTTAGGCCCATAAATGGATTTCAATTTTAAGATTCATCGGCTGATTCAGAAATTATTTATTGGCTATTGACGTAGTGCTCTCAAATTGGGTTAATTTAATGAAAGAAGAACCATCATAAAAGATTCTTATAACTTCGAAGAGCTGCAGCATAATATTTTGGTGACCGCTCGACTAGCATAAAAGATGGAAAACATGAAACTGTTTTGACCAGCATAAATTTGAAAGCTATTTTTCTCAGAAATACAAAACGACAAAAAAAGAGTCGTGTCAAATTGAAACTTGCATTTCTGAAAAATAGAAACAAAGAAAAATTAATATCAGCAAGCAAATGAAAATTCTTTGTCACATAAACTTTGATCAATCATACCCCGACCCATAGGGGTGGGGTTGGGGAGCGTACACTCATCCACACCACTCCCCCCGAAGGATTCGAACCCCTGACGACCCAAAAGGCTCCCCTTTGGTAGTAATTTAAGAAATCCTTTTTGCTTAAGTAAAGCATGTGTGATAGTATGAACTCTCTTTTTTCCAACCTAAGTCGCAAAAATTGTAATTTTGTTGCGACTCAAATATCGTTGCGACAAAACGTTCATTTTGAAAGTGTTCATTTTGATCAATAACCAGCTATTAAGTACAGCCAATACACAGACTATTATATTACAAATAGCACTTCAGCTTCAATCTATCACGGATCTGTAGCGTAGGGGTAGGGAAGGAGAACCGCAACAAAATAAGAGGGTTCGAAATTGGGCAGGGTCGGATTTTTTAATGAGTTTTTAAAGTATACTACTTAAAATGAGTCCGGTCTATAAATTGTTAGTTGGTATATTTGATTATTTTTTTCAAATTGACTGGAACTGCTAATGTGTCATAATTGGCTTGCGTCACCTAGCAAGCTTCACCTAAGAAATTTTGTAGACTAAAAGTTTTACTCGTTTAGTTTTTCTCACTAGAGTTATCGGTCATACTTTTGGTTTAATATGCGAAATGCAACTTTGCCTCTGTATTAAGAAATTTTTGGCCTGTTTTTTCAAAAATCCGCTTCCCCCTCGAGAAAATCCTTGATCCACCCCTTCCCCGACTTGAAATAGCTTGAACCGAACACTGGGAAATTGGGGGGGGGGGGGTGTGAACGTGGTAGGAGGGTAGGAGGGGTGTAAACGTGGGAGGGTGTGTGAACGTGAGGGGAGTGTTGACCATGGGGGATGCGAACGAGGTGGTGTAAGATTAATCGATTATTATCCATGAATCTCCAGTGCGGAAATGAATTGGCTATTGTTTAATGGGTGTAGTTAACAAGCTCCAATAATTGTAATTTTGACAATATTTGAGTTTTACTATGTTTCGATTTTTATGCACCGCCAATATTTTTTCTCTTAAGTTCGAAAGGGGAAAATGTTTTAAGATAAATTAAAGTTATTTTTAATTGAGATAAATTAATGGTTTTTGTCAAAAACAATTAATTTATCTCAATTAAAACGGACTTAAATTTATCTTGAAACATTTTCTCCTTTCGAATTTTGGAGAAAAAATATAGACGAAGTATCTACTAGCATAAAGCTCGACTAGCATAAAAATTTGGAAAGAGTTTTTGTTAATTGTTTGTTTCAACATGACGTATTTCTAAGTTTTTAAAGTTTGTCACTTTTTTGTTTCCTTGTTCATTGACACTTTTCAACTGTCTGCTGACACTTTCCCTGATAAATTTAAATATTTAACAACAGCTGCTGTGCAAGTAGCAATGAATGTTCCGTCAGCACTGGTTGAGAAGGAAATTCAAAACTTGACATAAAAAATTCGAAAAGATTTCGATTTCAGAAATTCTTGTCCAAAATTTCCGGTTTTTTTTTAGAAAGAATTATTGAAGCAGGTGAACAAATATAGGAAAGAGGGCTAATTAATAGCTAATATAGCTTTTAAATTATTTTAGAATCAGCTTGTAATTAAATTTCTGTCAATTTTTAGTTCTAATTTAGTTTGGAAATCGAAAAATGTTTATTTTGACACTGATACAACTTTTGAATGAACGTGTTTCGAGCTTTTTCGAAATCCTAACCGAAAGACGGCTTAAGGGGCTTAGTATGATATCAGACTCGGCCCTGATAACAATCAGGAAGAAAAAACGGATCTCTAAACTATTCGCCGCATTTTGAAAAAATCCAAGGCCTATTCGGTATTCTGGACTAAGAAAAAAAACGTTTTCGCCATAATGCGTCACTATCAGCTACTTTTTATACCATATGAAACAGAAAGTTTATGAAAACTGTTGAAACCGAGTAAGCACTTGAGAGTATGTATGTACAAGCGTTGCCCCATCGAAAAGCGTTGATTCATTGATTCATAGGTGGAAATAACAAATAGGACCAATTTTCCTAAAAATTGGGCCCGAGTTTTCTTAAAGAAACAGCACCATATTACGTCTGCTGAAAAGTAAAGCAAACTTTGTTTTGTCCACATCATTTTTCACGCTAGGTCAACCCATTTTGAGAGAACGCATTTTCACTTTCAAATTAAATGCGTTTTCTCCGGATAATTTAAATCAGCACTGTTTGTACATCTCAGCTGAAAAACTTTTGGTGAAACATCCTCGCTATTTTTGAATTGTCGTCTCGCTAGTTCATTGTTGTGTCCGCGTTAAAAAATGAGCCTTAAGAAACATCGTAGCTAATTAATCGCTGGAAAAAATTGAATATTTTTAATTATCTTGCAAAAGAGGGAGATTCGTTACTAGGTACAAAACTTATATGCTTAATCGTTGAATTAACTCATTATACGGGTGGCGATTCGTTACCAGGTACCAAAATGGGACTCGACAAAACGCTATGCTCTCTCCATCCCCAGGGAGGTGGTCGGAACAGAAATTCAAATGGGAGGTTGCTAAGTCGATCGAAGCTGAAATTTGTAGTTTAAAATTGTGGAACCTCTTATATTTGATCGGTTTAGATTATTAAATATGTGAGCTGAATGAGTTTGTATGGTATTCATATTTGGGCTCTTTTTAGCATGGAGTGCAATTGACTCTTCGCCTGATATGTCTTCAGAAGCAGGAGTGTTCATTGCAAATAATTTGTCACTGTATGAGCAGCTCACATTGTAAGTATGTTTCATTTCATTTCAGTATTTTGCACAATCTCGACAAATTAGAGTAAGAATACATTGATAACCAGTAGTGTTTACAGCAGCGGGGATGGGGTTATATTTAGCTGCTATTTTTTCTCTTCATGTCCCATATCTCATTCACGTTCCATGATTAAAGTGAGTTGGCCACTAAATTCATTGAAGAAACATGCGAATACTAGTTTCGAGGTATTGTGGATAAACAGTGGCTCTAAGTACTGAGGGTTTAGCTGTAGTCCCGCTGCCCTTCAGTGTTCTTCTGTAATGCCTGTTTTTTGCTTCTGTTTTACGTTCAACCACCTGTATTTAGGTTGTACTGTCGGCTTGGTTGGTTATGCGCGTAATACGACAGCTCGCAACAAAAGACAACTCGCAACAAGATATTGTTTGATGTGCAGGCAGCAAAGAGTGTTCCGACTACATTCATAAAGAAACGGACGAAAATTGTTTTCCCCTTTTTTCATCAAATTAGTGTCTTTTTTGTGCGTGGTTTGATGCGAGCACTAAGAATGCGTTCGAAGTTAGTAAATTAGACAAATAGGACATAAGTGTCTTCAAAAATTGAATAAAAATACAGTCGGATGGTTACGCTTGAATTAGCAATCGTTATAAAATCGGAATATCTTTTCGGGTTAACAACTTGATTAACAGAACGATTTGAACCACTTGGTATCTTGGTTCAAAATTAATTCAAATCTCAAAGCGTCGCCTGCACACTTAGTGTGGAGGTTATGAATACGCTTGGGGCAGCTAAGGTCATGGGTTTGAATCTGACCAGGACCGGTTTTTTTCAACTGGGAAATTTTCCTTTTCAAAAAGACTGTCAGCTTATTATGTCTGCTTGTGTTTTCTCGGCTTAGTTGCCACTTCTTAGATTTTTTTGCTCTGCAGTTTCATTAGTTGCTTTATGTTTTCATGTACTCCGATTTATTTTATTTTATTTTGTTCGCTTGAAAACTTTTCGGACTAAATGTTTTTGGCTTATGTTTTATAGGCTTGCTAACCTAATTTTGGGTCGTTCGAGGGAGCCATAATTTGAATGCTTTTCTCGTGATTGCTCAAAACGTTAAAAATCTCAAGAATCGAGTTCAAAGTTTTTGATGACAATTTAATTTTCGCTCGATATTCTCAATGAATTTTCATTAAACGCTATCCAATGTGTTTCTGGACGTGTTTTCCGCACGGAAAGCCTCATTAGAGACAACTTTTTAAAGTTTTTTTTAGTTGTGTTTTCTCCTTAAAATTTTCGTTTTGGACTTAGTGTCTCTCCTTTCCTTTCTTTCTGCTAGATTGCAATGCTACTTTTGTGTTATCGCTTTGCTTCAGTTTTCTTTAATATTGGTCTAGGGGTAACTCCGCAGCCTTTGCGTCCTAAGTTCTGGTGTTTGTTGCTCGACCGGAACTTGTTTTTTTTTTCAGTATGCAATTGAAAAAAAAAATCGGTTTAAATTGAATTGGCAGACTTTCATTTGTCTGCTCAAGTTTTGCCCTCTTAGTTGCCTTTCACGGAGTTTGCTTGTGCTGTAAGCAACTTTCATACTTTCATTGCCAGTTCAAGTGTTGTTCATTTTAATGTCAGGGGAGAACTTGAAAGATTTCAGGTTTATTTTCATAAAATTATTGTTTTTTTTTTCGGCTCAACTGGTGCCTGCTCAAAGATTGTCGGCGTAGTTGCTACCTTTTTGATGTTTCTTGTGCTGTAAGTAATTTCATTGTAGTTGCAATTGCAAGTGTTGCTCATTGTCGCTTCAGGTGGGACTTTTTATAATCATATTTTGTGTCAACTTGTGTCTGCTCAAAGATTGTCGACTCTTTGTAAGTTTTGTTCCGTTGCTAATTTATTACTCAAATTCTGGGATTTTTGTATGGAATGAATTTCTGTTGATACATATCGAGAAATTTAAAATTTTGGTAGGCCTATTGTTTGAATTTTACAATTTTTGAACTTTTTTCGACTTGTGTTTTTTTTAAATGTTTTTGTTGCATCACAGGTTGTGCGAAGCTCTGCTTAGACTCTGTGTAAAAATGCATTTTCATGCTGGCTGTGTAAAAGTTTTTTAAGCTAATCAAAATTTTTGAGCTTTTCTTTGTCTGTGAATTCATGAGCTATGAAAGGAAATATGAACTGTTTTTTTTTTGCGGTTTTACTTGAAGGTTTTATCCTCGGTTAAAATTCATGTTCAATTAACGATGGACAAATTAGAAACATCTGTTGTCGCCATCAATCATTTTGTCAGTTTTGTTTTTCTAGCAATTACAATCAAATCCTAAAAAATCAAGAGCACAACTTGAAAATTTTTTTTTCTATTCTATAAGTTCGGAGGTTATTGTTCAGACCCGACCTTTGGAAATGGGGAGCAACTCTGTATTCGGTTGTGTTGAACTTTTTTTTGATTTTCCACGCAAAAAAAATCAGGTACCATAAGTATTCATCGTACTGGTTGATAAATATATCATATTAAAGCCCTTACAACAGCCGTGATTCGAACCACAATTTAACAATTCAGAAAGTTTTTCCCGTGTCGAGAAAAACTGGTTTGCAATTTTTGATTTTTCGTCTTATTTCGAGCGAAAAAAGCGAACGAGCAGTCTTACTTTAACTGCTTAAAAGCTTACAATAGCTTAATTTAAATTGTAAAAACTTAGTTTTACTTGAGTAACGTTAGTTAACTTTGAGTTTTTAAGCGCCTTTTTGGAATCAAAGTTTTCACTAACTCAAAAAAAGCTGCAAAAATTGAAAAAAAAAATTATTTTTCATATTTCAGGTAACTTTTTTTTAAAAAAAGTTGTATTTCATTTTGCTTTGGTTACTATGACTGTCGAATATACCTATTGTCTAGTTTTTTTTGTTCAGCTCGTTTTATCACACCACGCCGATAAAACGACGAAAATTTGAAAAGACTCGTTTTATCACACCACGCCGATAAAACGACAAAAAAAAACTAGCATTGTCCGAGAGTCGGACCGCTGCGATAGGGGTTATGAGTCGCCTTCCTTTATAGAGCTGGCTCGATCTCTGCAATGTTCAAACGGATCATCTTAAACAATTTGTATTAAAAAGAAGAGACGATTATCTGACTCCCGTTTTTCTTGCCCCATAACTAATAGATCATCGGTATGAGGGCAGAAAGTTAGATCTGAACAAACTGTAAAAAAACAATGAAACATGTTTTTTATTTAATAAGAAACGTTTTTTTTCCTCAACCCTGGTAACCGGCTATCCTTGCCTGATAATTCATTTTTCCCATTCATTTTCTCTGACTGATGATTGGTAATTTTTCGTTGAACATTTTGATTGCAAGGAATGTTTTGCTCTTGCTTTACGAGCACCCTTAAAGGTTTTTCTCACACTTCAATTTAAAAAGTCAAAGTTGGAATGAAATGAATTTGTTTTCTTTTAATTGTTTTTGTGTCGATGAAAAAAGAGAATTTGTCGGGTCGTGTTGTTTGTAAGGAGAAATTTTTGAAGAATTGAAGGCAACTTACCCTCTCCAATTAAAAAGGCATATTGTCCAAAAAACCTGAATTTCTTATGAATTCGAAAGCCAATGATAAGTTTTAAACTTCCCAGTCGAATATAAAAAATATGTTTTCTCAAATCATAGATTTTGGAACTGAGAAATTTTAAAGGTGATGTATTTTAATTTATAAGTTTATCAATAAAATGAAGTCACTTCTCAGTTTCTTTGAGTTCATGGACACTTTTTCAACTGTCTATAAGCTCTGTTTGAGCTATGGCATAGATTTTCAAATTGTTTCTAGTTGCAAATGATTTTTGTATAAATTAGTTATGGTATGACTTTTTTTTACTTAACCATCGTTTTTCGTTAGAGCTTTGGTTTTTACTTTTTAGCGTTAGAATTGTGATATTCACGTTACTGTATCAAAAGCGCCACTTGGCTTTTGGGAAATGCGCAATGTTTTCATTAAATTGACGTTTCAGAACAGCCCAGAAAGATCCCTACTACTCTGCTGTTAAAAGCAAACTGGTTCCAAAAGAGAATTCAATTGCTGATTACGGAGTGCCTAGAGAATCACTTATCAAATTGTGCTCCTACAACAACAGGGCCTGTTCCGGGGCATTGGGTAAATTCGACTACTTCTGGAAGTCTTGGAAACATACAGTATATGGAAACTGTCACACCTTCAACCACCTCCTCACCAATTGTGAGTAAGCGTTACGTAACGGACTGAATAGCTAACTTAATCGGACAGAGTATTATGTAAAGTAGCTGATTTTTAATAAAAGGGAGGGTACAAACAAGCTCTTGTCGTCAGAAATTCGGATCGCATCATTGTTGGTGAGAGCTAGGGGCGTTCCAAGACAATGCATGCTTTGCTTATTTTACCGAGTCAAACTTTTAATGTATGATTCTCGTATAGGGAAATACTTTAAATCGACATTTGGTCTCACAGAACGTTTGAGCAAATCGGAGAAATGTCAAGGTCAGTTTGCCGAAACAGGTGGTGTTCATATCCACAAGTGTTTTCATCTCCGGCAACACTCAAGTTTCTCTTGTTTAATTGCAAATTTTTAATATCTGGAAATGAGATAAGGCTTAAGTTCAAGTTAGTGCAGAAGCTTATATACACTAGTGGAGAAAGTTAAAAGCGAAATTACGTTTTTACTCTGAAAAAAAGCTTAATTTATAGAAATACCTTCTCTGAAAGTATCAGTTTTTGATTGGAAGCTCTTACCAGTTTATTTCAGGGAACAAAATGCCATTTGTTGCTCTTTTTTTAAATAGGTTTTCGATCGAAGTGAACACTTTTTGAAAAAGTGGAATAGGAAAAAATAATCATGGGATATGACATATTTTGAACGAAAAAATTTCATTGTTAACTATGACAACTTTCCTCAACTCTGTTGTGTCTCAATATTTCACACTACGAGAAACTTACTGCAAAAAAAATCTGGCCCTTTTTTTAGACCATGAATAAACTGGTAAAGACTTCAAATCAACAAATGATATGTTCAGAGAGGGTAGTGCAGGTCATTTGTTGTCGGTCGATGTAGCAATTTTGTGAAAGTTGTCCGAAATGTTCCTTAAAATCAGGCATTATAGAGATTTAACGCCTGAATTTGCGTGTAATTTTGTCTACTAGTGTATGTCGTGATGATTTTTTTCAGAAAAGGTCTTGTAATTTGTTCACGCTCAAATTTTTGATTTTTCGCGGCTTAATTTGTGATTTCTTTTCAAGTTCAGTTGATTTCTTTTGTTAAAAAGAAGGCAAACTCTTCTATCGAACGGAGAAATTGTAAAAGTTACGAGAAACGTGAGTGGATTCCAATTTCGAAAATGGAGATAAATTATCAGATTTCGCAGCGGAATAGTTTTATTTCTTCGTCTAGTTTTTTCAAGTTGAAATCATTTGACCAAAAAAATTATCAGTCATAATTTGTTCTTGAAATTCAAACAGATTGAAGGCCATATTTTTCCTCTGAAATTCATAAACCGAAGTTTCCTTGAGTTTATTGACTCTTTTTCTATTGTCTTTTGGTTGTTTCTTTGTTTAAATGGCAAAACTGTTACCTCAAGCAGTTTTGTTTTAGAGAGTGATTTACTTGCTATCAGATTTTTTTTCTTATGTAACTCGCAAAAAAAGTGTTCATAAGAGTGTTCATTTATTTGGAATTTCCACTAGCATGGGAAATTGGATAGCATCTGTTCTCAGCTTTATTTGTGGCTAGTGTTTGGTGTCGATTAAGCTTCCCTGGCTGAGCGATTAGTGTGTGAGTCGCATAATCTCTAGGTCTCAGATCGAATTCGAGACGTAGACGAATGTTTGCTAATTCGAGGCTTGTTTCTACTTTTTCTTATTGCACTTTATATTGCTGCTTTTTGTTCTCGCTAAGTTTGCGAAGCGCAGTTTTGCCTCAGTGCTTGAATATATTTTCCTACCTTTTAGACAAACGGACACTACAGTGAGTTAATACTTCACCGACAAATTGTTCGTATAGAAATCATTTCAAGGTCTGTTATTAGTTCAAAAGCATTCGATGCCTATCGTCTCGACATCGGACTGAATGTCTTAAAATAGAATTAGATGTTCTAAGATTCAGACTGAAAAAGAAGTCATTTTTTGTGTAAACGAGATTCATGTTGTTAATATTAATGCTATGGACATTTGCTGTATAGTATTCGCAGTTTAATAGGATGTATTTTCTAATTTGTGAGGAGCGTATGTTTCGGTTATCTTAGCGTCCGTGCAACAGTCAAGACTAGTTTTTCAAAGCCAGAAATCTTGTCATGAAACCAATTAATTAAAAACAAGAAATATTGGTTTCTATTTAATTATTTAATCTCGCCTTTTCGCCATCTCGTGACGCCTTTGGTTGCCGTTGGTTCAACAATGATACGATTTTTAGTTTCACGAGAGAATCAGAATAAAATCAGCAGCACCGGCTATACTTCAGGACTGCATGTGACTTTATCCGTTGATGAAGATGCCTATATCCCACTTATGTCCCCTGGAGTAGGAGCCATAATCGGGGTAAACCCGCACTACGAGCATCCCCAGCCTGAATATAACACAGTTCTCGTTAAACCAGGAACTGGAAATTTGTTGTCTTTGAAAAAGAATACGATCTCTAAACTAGGAGGCCTATACAGTGGCTGTATTACAGAATACCCTGAGTTTGTGAAGAACAATGAGATGTATTTGAGCGCTGAAGTGAAGCCATTTTTGAAGTCGTACGATTTGCATTTTTGCATACAGATTTGTATGGCGTTGCAGCCTTTGGCGTGCGAAACGGGCGCGTGCAGGTAATGCTATTTTAAGTGTAGTAGTTTTTAAATTTCATAGAAGTTGAAATTTAGATGAGTTTATTTTTAACCATTTGCCCGAGAAAGGTGCTCGGTGAACTGCAAAATACACAACAACACATAAAACGAAGTGAGGACCTTAATTGGATCAATTGCGCAACCTTCCCCCCCCCCCCCCCCCCCCGCGGCTTTAACAAAGTTAAATCTTACAACACACATTTGCATTAAAGACGGCTTCAAAAGTCGACTTTAAATGCATCAGTTTTAGTAAATTTTTCACTCTGAAAGTAGTTATGGAATTTTTGTATTGTGAATTTTGATATTCCGCATTCGTTGGAGAATCTGGCTGATGATTTTGCTCATGATTTCATAACATTCAAAGTATCCCACGCGATTGATCCCCTTCTTAAGTCGTGTGGTTTTCTGTTTTGAAGCAGTGAAGGTTTGTTCACGCTCAGAGTTTTTTGTAGGCTTAGCTTTTGGTTTCTAAATAGACTGAAAAACCTAATGAATTCTAATTTCAGCAAATAATCAACGTTTATATAAAATATCGATAGTTTTTTTTTCGTTTTCTTACGTTTATTGACACTTTACCTAGTGCCTGTTGACTTTGTTTGGTTTTTTCATTCGCATAAGGTCTGATTTAAGGTGGGCTTATCTAAATGTTAATTTCTCTAATCGCCTGTTTTAGGTATGGATACATATTGGACCGAGCACGTGAGTAAATCTTTAATAAACTTCTTGTGGCTTCATGAATCTCTTTTTTCATGGATCTCTTTAACTATCCCCCCGGGTACCTATTAACGAATATCCCCCTATAAAGAAATAATTCAAGAGTTAAGCAAAAACTTAGTTACAAATATGCAAAAGAGGGAGATATAGTTAAAGAGATTCGAGTTCATCATAAGTAAATGGTGTTTTTGAATTATTTATAGCTTCTTTTCAGTTTTAAAGAGTCAAACTATTCCGGACTGTGACTTGACTAAGCGAGAACAGTTCGATTGTTATCAAGAGGCTAAGGAAAGAGTGACTAATTCTTCTAACTGTGGATGCGTTCAAGGGTGCAATAGAGAAATTTTCAGTCAGTTCTTGTCGTCAAGTCAGTTTCCAGCTAAAGCATACGTGGTAAGTTCTTTTGTGATGAAAAGAAAATTGTTACAATAAAAATTTTGAATTCGGCTTAAATGATATCATGCCGATCAATCGAGAGACGTTTTAGCTCTAAAAAAACTAGATCTGATTAATTGACGAGAGTAGCCGGTTTTTAAAAGAAATGAACGTAACGAGTACTCTTATATAGGTCTTGCTGATTTTTTTTTAGGAAAAAGTTTTAAAATTTGTTCACTCTCAATTTTGATTTCTGGCGGTTTGACTTGGGCTTTCTTTTTAATTCCAGTGCATTCCACTATTGAACAGCAAAAATAAAAAAGTCACGAAAAACGTGATCGACTTCTAATTTCGAAAATGAAATTTATTCACCAGATTTCCCAGTGAATGAAAGTTTTACCTATTGATCCAGTTTTCTCAAATTGGGTTAATTTTAACAAAAAAGTGCTCATCATAAATTGTTTTAAAAATTCGAAGAGCTTTAAATTCATCTAATTTTTCTTCCAAATTGAAAAGTGGAAGATTTTTGAAAAAACAAGTCAGTTTTTGTTTCAGTTTCTATGCGTTACCTACTCTTTTCTAACTGTCAGTTCGCTATGTTTTTTATTTCACTTTATAAAGCTGCTGCTGTTTTCTTATTCTGGCTCTGCGAAGCGCAGCTCCGCCTCTATGTTTATGATCATTATAACTTTGTGGAAAATTACGGGGCAGTAATAGCCCAATAATGGTGGGGCACCTTTACAGCTTTTTGATATCATGGGCTTTGACATTCGAATAGTAATAAATTAACACACTTGATGCATTTTTAAAAAAGCTATTTGTTTCAACAGCATCACAATAATAAAAGTTCGATTTCAGAAATTTTCTATCTCAATATATCTCGCAATTGTTTGAAATGCTTAATTTATGCATAATGTGGCTTGATGCTTTGCGATTTGTTACATGCAAAGTTAGTGTGGATGCCTTCATCGTGTTATATTCCAAATTGTTACTTGCGAAATTCTGTTCCTTTGTATTTGGTGCGACTTTTGCTGCATCGATTGACAATTTTTTTAGCAGATGTAGCTGCTTTGTTTGAGACTAATCTTTGGCGATTGTTAAGCGTTCGTGACCGAGAGGCGTGAGACTCCAAATCTCGAGCTTGCTGGTTTAATTTCAATACGAAGCAAATTTTTTTAATTCGAGGCTCATTTCGGTTTTTTATTTCACTTTTTAAAACTGCTTTTTGTCTTATTCTTGCTAGTTTTTGCGAAGCGCAGCTTCGTCTCTGTGTATTAAAATAACTCAGAATTTTTCAGCCACAGGATTTTTTGCAAAGAAGTAAACTTTTTGAAGTACTTCCGTTTTTTGGTTAGCTTAAATAAATAAAATTAGATAAGATTCCATTTTTATCTATTCCTCATAAGGAAAATTAGTCTATGATGAAAAAATCAGATGATTTTTTGTCACTGAGAAAGCTTCTGTAAAGTATGTTTTTGGAATTCAAATCACGACTGAAATCAACTCTTAATCCACGTTAATTTTTTTTACACGTGCGAAAGTATTGTCATAGTATGAGTCCTTTTTTTTCAAAGCAAACACGCAAATAAAATAGTCCGTTCGTGGCTCGCTTGCGATAATCACGATCTGTAGAATTGGAAATTTCATAGCATCTGTTCGCTGTTTTATTTTCAAGCGACCTTGGCAGTTTGAAGGACGTGAGACTCCTAATCTATAGGTTGCAGTTTCAATGCCGCACCAGTTTTAAGAAGAGACGATGAACGTATTGAAGACTCTTACGAGCCTTGACGTATATGAGCCTTGATGATTTTTTTTTGCAGGAAAATGTCTTTACTTTTGATCAAGTTTTCTCAAATGGAGTTAAATCTATCAAAAAAGTGTCATAAAATGGTTTCAAAATTCAAATAGCGTCAAGCCATATATGTTTACTTTGAAATTCAGGAATTGAAGTTTTTTTTCAAAAAAAAAATAAGTCCGATTTTTTCTGTTTCCCCATGTTCATTTAATCTTTTCCAAATGCCTGTTGGCGTTATTTATATTAGTGGCATTGTTGCTGAATGGCATTGGCAGTTTATCATCATCTGGAGATGCTTTATCGGTGGCTTCAACTTTAGTGTTAGTCAACTTCCAATGGCATGTGGTATAGATGCGTGGACGTGAGACTCCAAATTTTGACAAATAGCTGATTTTTATTGTTCAAGGCTTTTTTCAGTTTTCCTTTTTTACCGTCGCGTTTTGGCGTTTTCTCTATTGTGTTTGCGAAGTGCCGCTTCTCCTCTGTGTATATATCTATTATCATAGTTATTTGCCATCTCTGTGGGTAATCAGATAAAGACCTTCTTTGTTGAAACTGGTTTGAAAGCAAACGCTTGCTGTTACTAAATAGTTTCGTGTGCTCTGTTTTCCGGCAAAATTGCCACTCAAGTTTCTTCACATATTTCCGTCCTTTTAGAAACAAATTATAGAAATTTTCTATAATTTGTTTCTAAAAGGACGGAAAATATGTGAAGAAATTTGAGTGGCAGTTTTGCCGGAAATCTATAGGTTGCAGTTTCAATGCCGGTATTGAAGACTCTTACGAGCCTTGACGTATATGAGCCTTGATGATTTTTTTTGCAGGAAAATGTCTTTACTTTTGATCAAGTTTTCTCAAATGGAGTTAAATCTATCAAAAAAGTGTCATAAAATGGTTTCAAAATTCAAATAGCGTTTTATTTTTCTTTCTTGCACTTGTTCTCGTTTAGAAGTATTGTCCCAAAAAACTTCCGATTTTCCCTCAGAAAAGCTTTTCACTGGTAGTTTCTGAGTTTTACCAGTGAATTGCTAGTTTCATATTATAGAAAACTTGCAAGATAAATCCAACGAAGAATTCTTTACAATTTTTTTTTGTTTTCCTCCATTTGAAATACTCAGTACATTTCAAGTGGTCGGGCGGGTTCACACTTGTGAATGAGCTTTTGAATAAGACTCAAAAACGGCGGATCATGCTTCTGAATGAGTACCAATAAAATACCTGAAGCCAGTTAGTCTTCTGCCCAGCTAGCAGTTCTCAGCTTCTAGTCTTCTGCCCAGCTTGCAGCTAAGAGTTTTCAGCGTCTGCCCAGCTAGCACATGATGTTCCAAGCACGTATTTAAAGCGCTTGTTTTGATACAACTTCTTAAATTCTTTTTTTCTTGTCTTCAGTACAAAAAGCCTGACAAATTGAAAACTAAAAAAGTATTTTTGAACCATTTTCAATTGAGGTCATTGAGCAAGTTTTTGAAAAGTCTTTAGCTAAATAGTACATAAAAAGGGTTTATAGACTAAACTCATTTGCTAGTTTTCCATTTGAAACATCTCGTAAAAAAGTCCATTATATGCCCTAGAGTTATGCCCTAAAAAGTCCATTATATGCCCTCGTGATTTTTTTTCAGCAATTTCGAGATGTATTTTTTCCACTAAATTGTCTCGATTTCCTTGTTTTGATTAATGAACATAGTGAAGACTCTTATATAGGTATTTTTTTTTGTTTTTTTTTCTCGGGAAAAGTTCGTAAATTGCTCTATTAAGTAAAGATGTGCGTTCATACATATTAATGCATTTAGGTATTTGTGCTTTTTTTGAGTTCAATTGAAATTAATGTGCTGAAAAATACTGTCACGCATTTTTTTACTTCAACGAGCAAATGAACGAATCTTTTCTTCATGTTAGTGTCGTTTTCTCGGCAATTGTTTAGATATAGGGTTCCAATTTTGACTTTTGCTAGATGAAATTATTTGAAAGTTGACCTTAGACAGTGTCTCATAACTAGTTATAGATATTCTTCCTAAAAAAACATCCTCGCAAACAATATAAGGATTTTGAATTATTTGTCTCATATTAGTTTTTTGCGACAGATAACAGATTTGAAAAAATTACCTTGCCCGGCGTCGAAAAACGGTCAATTCTGTTTTGACGAAACTTACTTTGGTAGTTCTTGGGGGCTTATACTAGAAATTTGGACAAAATTTACCCACGACATAACTGCTGATAAGAATCCTGTGCACGGACTGGAGAGTATTTTTCCGATTTATTTGCTGGAATAGTTCTTTTGTTGACTTATTTTGATCCTCAGCGCGAAATTATTCGTAATTTTCAAGTTCTTCATCGCCGGACCAAGTAACTTTTTCAATACTGTTGTTTGTCGCTGTAGGTGGGATCAGGTGTACTTCAAGCTCATCGGGTGCCCAAAGAACTTAAGTTGCGCCCTATAATTCACATTCCCGATATTGTTTTCGAGGATGTTTCTACAGCCTGAACACCTAAAACTAGTTATGAGATGCTGGCTAATTTACGCCTTGAAACACAAATTTCAAAATTTTGGACCGGCCTATACCTTCCAATTAGCATATGTCAAAATTTGAATCGTTGCTGAGAAAACGACAAAATGTGAAGAAAAAATTCGTTCATCCCAGAAAAAAAACTCGTTGAAATCAAAAAGTTGCAACTTCTGTGTCCCGTGACTGTACATAAATAGCACTCTCCAAATACGAACGTGAAAATTGCGCAAAAAAACGTGAACAACTTCTAGTTTCGAAATTGGAATTGAATTTATAGATTTCCCAGCGGAATAAAAACTTTCTCAAATTGGGTTAGTTTTATATAAAAAAGCACCAATCGTAAATTGTTCTTGAAGTTCAGAGCTTCAAGGACATATACTTTTTCTGTAATTTTCGAATTTGAAGTTTTTCAAAAAGTAAGTCAGTTTTTCACAAAGCAAGTCTGTTTCCTTGTGTTCATTACTCTTTTCCAAATGTAAGTCGGCGATGTTCATAATTTAAATTCGGATATATAGTTTTTGAAGTCGGATTAGTTTGCAATCTGCAACTGTTAATTCTTTTGTCTAATTTAATAAGCTATTTAAATACGATCATATTTAAGCTGTAATCTTAAGAACTTTCTTTTGATGATGTGAAACTGTCCAGTCAATAGACTGATTCTGGTGCGATATGGGGAATCAACAACATTCTTCTTTTGTTCTGATTGCACAGCATGTCTT